TTTGAACTAATAAAGTGCCAGGGGCCTAAGTGGTCACCTAAATATTAAAAAAAAAAAAAAAAAAAAAAAAAAAAAAACTCCTTGTTTTTCTCTTTGTTTTCTTTTTTGCAATAGCACAGCTAAAAAAAATAGTAGTCAAAACTATAAAGATAAAAAAGAAATTATCAGAAGTTTGTTAAATCTTATATGAGAAGCTACTAAAGAGGACGTTAGAGAAATATTTTTCAGCTAGTTTTTAGGACCCGGGCATTGCCGGGGTTCGAGTTTCTAATGTTTTTCTAATTCTTAGGCTTTATTGTGTTTAAATTCAAGTTTTTAATTTTTTTCTAGTTCTTAGATTTAAATTATATTTAATTTTAAAGCCTGGGTATTTTTTTAATAATTAACGCTGAAATAAAAATTATTTATATTAAAAATTGCCAATGTAATTTATTAATGTTACTTGTTACTTTTTAACTATAAACTTAGTTTGATTAGAAAAACTAATAGTTTGTTCAAACTATCAGTTTAATAAAGTTTTAGAGTACAATTTATATTAGTTCTTATCACTTATCCAGAGTTTAAAAGATATCTTATCAGAAGGCTCGAGAGATGGCAGTTTATAGAAGTGACACAAATTATGACTAGTCCTTTAAAACTATACTGAAGCAAATCATGAATTTTTATTTTAGATCTATAATCATATAAATCTTTGAGATCTGTAGTATACATGCTGTAGAAATTAGGTTCGGTTGCGCTGAAAGTATTTAGGTACTGTACCAATTTTTCAGCAAAAATAAAGCTGCACCTAAAAATTTATATAATATCAAAGTTTAACGCAAAGAAAATTGTATTTATTTGTCATTAATTGATAGAATTATAGATGTAATCCCCGATTACTATTCCAAGATTAAAGAGAATTTATTATTATTAACTAAATCTAAAGAGACTAAAGTAGTATTCATACAAAGCATATCTACCAATACTTCTCCTTTCGGTTCAATATTATTATCACAAGAGATTCTTGACAATCATCAACAAATATCAAATTCTAAAAAGTTGAAATTTGCAGGTTTACCAGAAGGCTTGACAGGCTTGACAAAATTTCCAGTTCATATAATTAATATAGCAACAACCTCCAAATGCTCAGAAGAACAATGATAAGAATTAAAATTCCACTGATTATAATTGATTTTATTTACACTTGCCAAACTATTAGAAAACCATGTAGATTTTGGTATTATATTATGAATGAATTTATTTAGCTGCTGACGAAGCAATTTTTAGATATTCAGTCTCTTTAAATAAGATACATTCAGAATTTTATTTTTTATTACTGCAGACGATTTGCATTAGCAAAAATATGTGCATTAACAAATTTTTGAAGGTGGATATCGCAATTTATATAAAATATTTAACTATAAAAACCTTTGATCAAAAATAATTACCAATGTAATGAAATTGTTAATATAGCTGCCTATGTGAAATATATAATAATAAAAACTTTTAATCAAAAATAATTACCGATATATCATTATAATTAAAATATTAATATATCTGCCTATTTTTTATTCGCAATTTTAGATAAACACCTCAAACAAAAGATTTTTTTATTTATCTCCAAATATTAATTTAAAGATTCTTTTCTCTAATTCTTTAATTAAAAAATATAAATTATATTATTACTTATGGACATGTCTGTCCAAACATGATTGCATAATATTATAATTAAAACCCAACCTTGACATCAAAGATTTGCTAAACTTGGGAGCTTCATAATTAGTTTCAACATTATTTAGGAGACTTTTAAGAAGCTGATCATAATTTACATTCCTCATTAAATATCTTGCAGTGAGGCCTGACTCTACAAGCCTCCATGTTCCTACCCAATATCTCTGCTCATGCCTTTCACTAATTCTTAAAATTGGTTTGACTTTTCCCTTCACTAAACCACGTGGACTAGAGGCTTTTTCTTATCTCATTCATACTCTTCTGCTAATATTATGAGCAATGTTAAGTACGTGCCCCTAAGTTCATACAACAATTTTAACATTTTCTCATCGACTGTGTTAGATAATATGTTAATACTGTAATAGGTGATATATTTAGAAAATTAATAAATAAATGATGAGACCTTATCCAAAGTTTTAATCATGAACAAGATTTCGAATGATTCTTCAATTTTGCTTTCCCACTCTAATTATAAATATATAGGAATGACATAATATAAGAAATAATAAAATATAAAAGAGATTTAAATTATGATACTTACAATAGAGTGAAGAGAGCGGCCATTCCATTTTGTAATGCAAAAACGCAATTAATATAAATTGTACTGTAGAAATAGTCCTTGAAATATTTATATAAATTTATATATAATCAGACCTTTTTTTCAAATTTTAAGATTCATTTATTGGATTAATTATAAACAAGATGAAAAATTAAGCAATTCAACCACCATTTCTGATGATTAGAAAGTTAACTAAATATTATAAATTTTGACTAGTTATTGTTTTCGGATCACTTCTCTATGTAATCCGCGACATAAAAGCTTTTATTAAATTCTTAATAAACAATACATTTTATATAAAATCTTGAGGTCTTTATTTTTTAAACCACAGCCTACCCTCATTAATATCAACCTACGCAATAAAATGAATTTTTACAAGCATTTATATATTAAAATTCCCTCATATATATCAACTTTAATATAATTCCTTGTTAATATCACTATCAACATGAATTCAAATATGTTGATATAAACAAAGAGGGTAGACTGTATTTGAATGAAGGTTAAAAGCATCATTGAATTCGTTTTTATATTTATAAAAAAATTCATTATATTTGAGTTCTTTAACTTAGTAGGATTAAATGTTTAAACAATACGTTGTTTTGATTTTCATTACCTGACTAATAGAAAAATTTAAACTTATTTAACCAATATGGTACATTGTATATTTATTTGGAATATGGATTAACATCACTTATACATATCTTGATAATTTGATTTAATAGAGTTGGTTAATGTCATTTGAATTTTTTCTATATCACTTTCAAGTTCATTTGAAAAATGTCCTAAGAATTAAATCAGATCAATAAAACAATTTGATAGAATTATATTTATTATTACTAATCTTTTTATCTCAATCTGTAAAAAAATTTCTAATGAGCTTGCCATATCATGATTCTTGTTTTAGATTAAAATTAAGAATTTAGATATGTGATGAAATGAATCTTGGTTTCTTCATATATTTGGTATATCATAAAACAAAGCTTTCCATCTAAAATTGCTAGTAATATTCTAATACGTTCAACACTACATATAAAATTTAGAGTTACATACCAGATAAAAATAACCCAATCTATCGTATCTTACGAAACAATTTCTTTAATTTTTTAGTAACCTTTTTACATTTTTTAGCCCAGTATAAAATAAACCTATTTGCAGCATCATTAAGTATTCTGCATAATTTATTATAATCCCCTCCTTGAGGCTTATTTAGATGTTTTGCTTCACAAATAAGGAGGCATAATTTTATACCAGTTTCTGGAGAATAAGTTATAGCTATATCAACTTTTCTGCTATATACTCGAAAAAGTGTGATACTCTGTTCACTGGCTGTATCAAGAGATAATAATAAATAATATTATAAATTAAATATTTTTAATCTAAAATATAAAAAATTACAAATTTTTAAATATTTTGTAATCTAGTAATCAGATTTTGATAAAATAATTTTGTTAGAATTTTTTAACTAGGAGGAGTATTTTGTAATAAAATTATTTAAAATAAATCAATAGTTCAAAAATTATTTATCTTTTTTTTTTTTTTTTTTTTTTTTTTTTTTTTTTTTTATATTGCCAAACGTAGAAACTTTATTAGTCATGATTCACACCTT